CATCCTGCTGCTTTGCGGTCAACGCGTAGTTTTAAACGTGCGAGCACGGATTGGGTGGGTGGAGGGGGAATTGTGTGCGTATGTGCTAGTGCACTAGAGCTCGGTTCAGGTTGCGCACAACTCTACGCGAATGATCTGTAGTTTTGTCGAACTAGTCCCACAGAGCACATTTCAAACAAACAGAACAAGCTCGTTTTCACTGAGTCGTACTCATACCAATACCAATACATCAGCACTTGGGAATAGAATAGTCTTGGGAGAATAAAATAAAATCACATCACAAATGAGTGGAAACGAGGTCAGCATGAGACGGGAAATCGGATTCACCACGATCACATAGTTGTTTGTCCACTCATCCGGTCATCGAGATTACTCGCGATACGGTATGTGTGTGTGTGTGGGGGGGGGGTAGGGGTAGGGGGCAATGGCTTTAATTATTGTCTGAAGCGGTGGTATTAACTATTTGGTGTACGAGAATTCCTCATGCACCTGTATATATGTGGATGTGACTGAGTGTTACAAACAGTGACGTTTGTCCATCTATTCAGTTGATTTCCAACTTTCACCATTGTGATTCTTTCCTCCACTCCTTCATCCGAAAGAGCAACCAAAGTACAGTGACGAAAATCGCTGCGCGAATGTGCAAGGTTAATGGTTGTATAGATTGAATTGTCATATAAAACGGAACACTGTGCAGGACCGGTTGTTCACCCAAACTCAGCATGTTTTGTGATGAGATACAACTAATCGTGTATATGGTTTCACCAAAGAACTCCCCCCGCCCCGCTCTCTTCACTGACTAACGATCCGTTGTTCAGGGCCAACCAACAATGACCGCACATTACACGAAATGGTATGTGGAACATCTGGTGAAGCATGCGTACGCGGATCACTTTGTCTATTCTCCTCTTCTCAAGAGTTTTGTCACCATGGTGTCACCCGAAGTGGTCCGATTTCGTGCAGAGGATTTTGCCGATCTGAATGAGTTGCGTGCGCTCGCTGAACTGATCGGTAAGTGTCTATCGAACTCCTCTCCACACACACACACACACGTTTTCGCTTCTTACTAACGATATCCTCCTTAATCATGCTGTGCGCTACTGAGTACTCAAATTCAGATTGTCTCATCCTCTGTAACATTTTCGCATGGATCCGTCTACCTAGCTTCAGAACTACTTCTATTTCATTTTCTCTTATTGTTTCACAGTATTTCTGATACAGGAGCATTGTTCCCTCCATCAACCAACAGTGCTCTGCTTCTGTCAGTTTACTGATAGGTGCTCCTCTTGATCCATTCTCCGTTCTCTGTTCATTCCAAATCACGATTGGGCTAGCCCGGGCGTAATGATTCGTTCCGTTTTGTGCGATCCTTTTGGTCCATTATCCGGTCACGACATAATCTCTTTCTTTTGTTGCACCATCTGATCAGTAGTGAGTCGCATTGGCCTGCATAGGTAGGTAGGTAATCTAGTTTATACACATACACCGCGTGTTGACTGTGTTGTTTGAACAGTACTATTAGCTCAACCCGAGCCATCGGTGCTGAATTTCGTTACTTTATCAACTGGGTGCCATATGTGCAGAATAATTCGTTGGAATAACAGGAACACGTTCAGTCCAAAACACCGATTGGGATGCAATATGGACACTCGGCTTTGAATTCCCCGTTCACGATTCTAATGGGCGAATAAAAACGAAAACTTCGACAAAAGAAACACTAGATGTGAAATTTTGGAAACGATGCAATAATGCAAATAACGTGCTACACGAACGCCACCCGGATTTTCTTGCTCTACCCTCGTCCATTGGAATTGCGTTTGTGGTGGTCTGTGCTCTTCCTTTGCCCTGTCAGGATATGCCAACCGTTCATAAAACCCGGGGAATGGAGTACAGAACGGTGGCAATCCCAAAGCTCTTAATGGATGCTTTCTGTACACGTACTGCTCAGGTCACCACCTCTCCGGGCAACGATGTGCACCGCGTCATTCCATCGGTCACAGTAATACATACGTTAGGTGGAGACCTCAGCTTGTTAAGGCACATTCACATGAAGACAGACATCGGTAGTCAGGTCATCAAATTACGCGCACATAATTTGCCAATTTATTTGAGATAAAAAATATCACTTATCGGTATATTTACTTTGCACCATATGAAAAAAAGATATGTTGACCAGAACAAACAATGTAGTAAAGCGACAATCAGTTATTAGAAAGATTGAAACCCCCTACTGCTCTGTGCGAAGTATTTTCTAATTTGGAGCTATAGCTTTCGAACTATAGATTTTATTGTGATACTCAGGGTCACGCCAATACAAGATACAAGATACAAGAGAATTAAGAACATTGCATTGGGAGAGAAAGTTAGGAATAAATGCTCTACCCACAGCTATCGATATGCAATTATGATATTGAAAACTGTAATATGTTTTTTAATTGAGGTTTGTTTCACAGTAGTTCGATCCATACCTGTATGTGTATGCATGTAATTAGGTATAGGTATATGTGTTTGTATGTATGTGTGTAGATATAAACAAGTGTAGAAACTGCTACAGAGACAGTGATGTTATTTGTTTCATAAATTAGCTTTCTTACTTTACTTTTCCTGAGGCTGACACCTTGGAGAAGCTAATTCGGTTTGTTGAAAGTCTTGAAGTTTCATGGTAGATGTCCCCAGCATTCCCCGATCTTTGTTTCGAGGGCAGACCTCCAATCTTCAGACAACCAACAGCGAACTGCAAGACAGCAGTGTGTCGTTACTGGCTGCTCCCTAGGATCTCGTTCACAACTTGGCTGGTGTGGATTCAGTCCATGGATTCATGCTTTCCTGTCACGACTGTCTGCCAGCTCAAAGACGCTACCAGTATCAGATACCTCTTACATCTTCGGCTTGTTGAGTTCACAGTGTGTTAACCCTGTTGATTGAACAACTGGCTTATTCAATACACCACAGATATTTAAATCTCAGTCAGTTAGGGAGTAGATGTCATGCAATCTCTATGCTACTCTGGTTTACCTACGTGATATCCGAACCATAATCTGACATTCTACTTTCATGCTCCTGTGCACCGAGGGCCAGCACTGGCGATGAGACAAGTACATTAGTGTATCCGCACGTGGTCACCTCACGTGTTCTGCTTCAATTACTTTTCTGTTCGTGTGCACCGTTTCGTACACTCACTTTCATTGTGACCTGGTACTGATGTACTTAGTCATCTAAAATAGACAATAAATGCACATCAGTGAGCTGATGTCCTTGTCTCCGATCGGTTTTTATCGTCTCACTGTCCAGCTAGGAATGGAATTCGCACGCCTACCCACGCAATTCTTAATACTACGCTGGTCTCCTTGTTCGTGTTACTTTTCGATCTCCGTCCACGTCTTTTGCCTACTTGTTCACACCTGTCTTATCGTATTCGGTCGCGGCAAATCACCTTCAGGTTGTGGATCGCAGAGTAGTATGATACTTTGTCGGTAATGGGTTCCAAGAAAAATTATCCCAATCGATTTCAGTAGTTACGAGGTGTGTGTGTGTGGTACGTTGCCTACAACTCGACTGTATCACACTGGCACTCTATCGCACTGAAAACGAAGAAGAGCTTCAACTGGTGGAGGAGGTTTCGATGCGACTAGGAAGTCAGCCGAGGCAAGACGCGAGAGAACAGGGGCAGGATTTCCATCTGAGTTGGCCACGGCGAGCAATGTTTTCCGAGGCAGGCAGTGAATGGAAAAAGGTCAAGGGCGAGCAAACTAAGACCTTTCATTAGGGTATGAAACCCTAACCATTACACTGGGTCATATAGGTTCCGTTATGCTCCCTGGATGGGGACCCCGAGATCATGTAACCGGCGGTTAGAGACACTGAATGATATGGCTGAGTGCGGTGAACAGTGGCGTTCGTGCATCTTCTCATTTTTTGCAACCTCAGTCTATATGAGATCCCTATCTTCCCTTTAACTCTGCTCTCAAGATTCTGCTCTTTTATCCAAATGGGCGACCAAAAGACAGCAAGCAGAACCGGCGCACGAAAGTGCATGGTTAACGGTTGTAAAAACTAAACCTGAAACTGTTTATTATGATCGTCTGAAGTTCATCTATGTGCTCTATGCATTGACCATGGATGTTCACTTTCTTTTCCTCTGCTCCAAAACAGATCCACTCTCCATCCACTTTGGAGTTGAATTGCGCGTGGTGTTGAATAAAATCCATGTTCGCACGCATGATCAGTACCTGTCTAACACGTGAAGAACGACTCATGTTAGGAAACAGGTATAAAGTAGAAACAGTCACGCTTGGCCGGAACATGAAGAGACGTAGCAATACACGATGTACTACTGAGAGAGTCATTGACCAACTAAGAAGTAGGAGTAACATCCAAATGGCTTAAAGAGGTAATCTTCGAAATATCTGGGAACATGTAGTCCAGGGAATGCTAGAATGCCACCAGTGTTACCTTCAGCTGTCGCGCATTTTACACACACGCAGCTGCGTTTTTCGTTTTTTCCCCTTTACTTATGCGACACAGCTTGCCACTTTTTCGCTTAAAGGTCCTCTCGGGATGAAACACATGTGCGATCATTTGATGCAAGATATCGGACATCGAGTGGATGAGATTAAAAAACTGGTATTACAAAACCGAAGCACGTTGGAGAGTTTGCGTGAATGCTTTGACGATCCACAAAAAACACGTCAATTGGGCAATAGTCTTCAGAACAGTGATACCTTGCTGGTGCTTCTCAAAGAGATCGGTGTGGCTCTGGCCTTCCGCACACTGTGCGCGGAAGCATTGAATGATGTTCTGCAAGTGAGTTGCCTCCGTGCTACGTCCACTAGTACACAGCATTTGGTGTTGGACTCAGTCAGATTTTCTGATTATTGACCACCTCATCAAAAATCTATTCGGTTTGATCGGTTTGTGATAGAATCTATTTCATGTGAGTAAAACATTTCATTTGTTTGACTTCTGATAGTCTTAGCAATAGACGTATGGAGTTGCTGAAACAGTAGCTTCACTTTTAAGACTACTTTACTTGAGCTTATTTCCGGTATGGTATGAGAAAGAAATGAAACTTGGGTCTGTGCTCGGTCGATCGATCGACCGGTCTGTTGCCCACAGGTATGTTTATTTTTCGCAACTACTTACAAGTAAGCAAAACAGCATAACGCATGTCAACAGTTGTTACTCCGGTTTCTTTTCGACAGAAGCGCACACCGTTCCTGCTGTCCACTGTGCACAACTTACGTAACTACGTTACGCAACAATCTGGCGGCCAGTTACTGCCTCCAACACTTGGTTCAGCCGCAGCCATGTCCCCGAACGGGATACGCGATGATGTGGAGACAATTTATGCCCGGTTTGACTCGCAGCTAGTGTTGAACAATCTGTCTGCCAGTATGGGGATCCTATCTGATTTGGATTATAGTTTGTGCGCGATTCTAAACAGTCGTCGATCGGCCGCTTTGGCCGCCAGTCAGCAGGCTAACGCGGGCGGTACAATCAATGGTGCAGGCGGTTCGGTCCCGTTCCCGGATCTAGACTATCACATTTCGTGCCTGTTCATTGTGTTCGTGGCGAATGCTTTGCCCCGTCTCGCGCGACAAGAGTCCAGCGCGTACCATCTGGATCTGGAAGCGAATGAAAATAACACGCACTGTTTGGCCTATTCCGTGAACGCCCTCATGGTAAGTTGTGATGCAAATGGTGGCAGACAGTTTGTGGCTGTCACGTGACTGCTGCGATTACTTGACTCGAACACTACGCGCACGTTTGGGGGCGGTGGGGGGATCTTTCGGACTTCATCATTCCAAGCCCTCGATCGTTCACGTTTTCCGGTGCTTATATAACACGGGAATTCTCTTTAGGACTCCATTCGCATTCATTCATTTAGGCATGTCAATCGTTTGGATAGTGTAAGTATCGCTGACTCGCACTCTGGGGTTGATCATTTGGACTTTTCCATCCTGAAAAGTTCACTTTCGGTTTTCTATTTTTTTAACCGGACTACAGTAGCTTTTTAATTTCCAGTTAATTCACAATCAGAAAATCTACGGTACACTGCTAGGAACTATCAACCCACTTAATTGAAGCCGATTGACCGACTTGAATGCAAGTACTTTGTTACCATCTAGGAAATCATCTAAAGATTCATTTACAGCCGTAAATGCTTTCAATAGTTCAGAATGGCTATCAGTTTCAGAGTTCAGTTTGAATAATCATTAGCCATGCACTTTCGTGCGCCCGTTTTGATTGTTGTCGTTTGCTGTCCATTGAATGAGCAATAGGAGAAAGACAGGAAAGTTAAAAGTATAATCGAGGAGAAACTGGAGAATTTCAGTGGACTTGGGTTGCAAGGAGACGATACATGAACGTCATTGTTTACTACACTCAGTGTCTCTGACTTCCGGTTAAAATCATCCCGAGGTCCCCAGCCAGGGAGCCCAACGGGACATATGTTACTGAGTCTCCTGGTTAGGCTATATATAGAGAAGAATAGTGGAACCGCAATATGTGACCAAAATCCCTTGGTTATTTGATCGTTTTTCATTTGTTATGTTACCAGTGCATTCCTGATCCTAATGCTTATAGCATGCTATCTCTCATTCAATCTCTTTCTATGTAATCGTAAATCTATTAACACAGGTGGCCATGTTTTCCCTACTTCGACCCGGAGATTTGGAAGCCCGGTCCAAAGAATTCCTGGCTTTGGCCTCGTCAAATCTTCTCCGTCTCGGACTGGAAACATCGACATCCATCCTGTCTTCCGAGGTCTGCGGTGGAAGTACCGGTGGCAGTGGTGGTGGAGGTGGTGGTGGTAGCGGTGGTACGGGTGTGGGGTCCGGTGGTAGCCAATCTTCGTCGTCCAACCCAAATCCAACACACCCTGCAAAACAACGGGACTCGATCTATATCTTGTTCGACAATCTTGTCCGGCATTCCCCTTGTTTATCACACAGCCTGCAAGAGGCTTGTTTCCCCTACTCGCTGATTCGCAGTGCTTACCACAATGTGGCTAAGGCGAGCACGACCACCACAGGTTCATCTTCTGCCGTGCGTTCCAATGTGATGTCTGCATCGCATGCCGATTTGAAATCACGTGACTAGACGGAATCTTTTATTCATCTCATCACACACACACACAAATGCGGGATTTCGCCAACTGACTATCAAAATAAATTACTCAATCAGGTTACAATTAAAAAGCATTGTCAAGTTACCCGAAATCCACTGATTGCTACCGGACTTGAACGAATCCGGATTCTTGCTTTTCAGTCCACATCATCTCATCAACTGAATTTTCCTTTTTTCATTTTGCTTCCATGCTTTTTTTCAACATGACTTCATACTTTCCCCCTCCGATTGCATTGCTTTTCGCGTCACTCGATGACCCCGGTTCAACTTCCTAATCTTGCTTCAAACTTATTCAGCTCTATCCCGACCCCACCTCCTGGTCGCTGTCGCCTCATTTTTCTATCGATTGCTATATTTGCCCGCTCTCCCGCTCTGTCTCCCGTATCTAATCTCTTGATTCCCTTGTACTGTATACATTTCTCTCCCTGCGACCCCACTCCCTCCACTCCTTGGTCGTGATTGTATTGCATGCTCCACCGCGACTACCACAAGCTCTTGATTATATCGAGTACATTCTTAAATATTTCATCGCGTAGCTCACTTCATTCGAATGACGCCCACGACATAAGCATTATCTAATCTGCTGAAATGAGTAATAAAGGATCTTGACCATAGACGTGGGGTGGGGTAGGGTAGTGGTGTTGATGAAGAGTGGTCCCCAGTCTAGCACAACTGCCGGCAGAATTGTGCTTTCATTCACCTTAAAATCCAATCGTGCTGTCGGATGATATGATTAGGCCTGGTCAACTGTACACTGAGAATCTGACTGCACTTCGTCTGATTGGTCCCGGCTTTCCATTGCGTGCCCCGGGTCTAGGACACTGACGTACTCACTATCCTATTCATTCAGTCCCCATTTTTCCGCTTTATTCATATCTCCACTTGTTTCAGAGAAGTTAACGCTCTCGGAGTAGCACTGAACCAATGTTGGGCGGCAACTTTGTTCAGTCACTTCGAATCGTTTCTTTTGTCCAGGTAAATCCGTCTCCTGGTCAGGTTGAATGTGTATCTTCTTCCGCGTACAGAAGTCAAACAGTTATATTTAGGTGGATATGGTTTCTTACGACTGAAAAACCACCAGAACGAATATGGCTACTCTTGGTTTGACTTGAAGCATGTTATGTGATGATGTTATCTCCAGGACGGTCACGATTGTTACATCACAAAAGTGAATGTGAATTGCAATAATACTAAATTATGCCTTCCATGCCTTTGGTGAAGCGCATGGTCCTCCTGATAGAGCTCTAGAAAAGCATCAATCTGAAGTCTGGATAGCTTGATACTTTTTGGACAAAGGATGTGGATCTGTGTTGATAAGAAAGGAAAGTTGAGTCTTTGTTGACTGTTTACAAATGCCTGAGTCCTGTTGAGGGTTGTTCCAAAGATTCACAAGTACCGGAGCGGGTCTGTTTCTGCTGTACTTTTGACAAATCAATATCGAGTCAGGATATAATGGCAGTAAGCATTTTTAACCCACAGTTTCCTGTGTTTCTATATGTGGAGTAAACATTGGTGTTGATTTTGACTGACCATCCTTCACGCATCATCATCAGCGAACCATACGCTCAAGAAACGCGGCATTCCATTTTCGTTCTTGTTCGAGCTCATTATTACTTCATCTCCCCCGACTCGATCCGGATTTATGTTCCTAGCCTCGCACACGGTAGGTGTGATACCACTGTGCCAGACACAATTATCAGTAGATAACAGAGTTAAAAAGGGGATATCGAACCGAGCAAGTCTGGAACGTGTACACAAACCGGCACAGAAAACCCGATTACCGAAAAAGGCTTCGATTGGTACCAGATAGCTAACTGTATCCTCCTCATTGCAATCCGGTTTAGTAACTGTCTGAATATCATTGAACAACCTGGATTTGGTGATTATTATTATTATATTTCACACACTTCTGAGGCCAGACTGTGCCTAACAAATCTAAGTACAATAATCTGTATGAAAAACAGAGACGTTCCATGATTTGCATGTGGGCCGAATACTGCCAGGTTGCCCAGGCCAAGGCAGGTGAATTTTCTTGGGGAATCCATAACCAAAGCCTTCGGCTAGCTACCAGTGGTCCACCAACCAGGTTATAGGCGGTGGTGGCCCAGTCACCAAATTACTACCTCGGGGGACGTGTGTCCGAACCCCACTACCATCGCCCGACTTTCCCCATGGCAGTCATTTGGCCACTTCCCCCTTCCTGAAAATTGTCATTGTGTATTCAACAAAAGGAAGTAAAATTAAAAAAATATCCCCGGATGTCCTCTCCCTTTGGTGGGAAAACCGCCACGAGAAGGCAGTAAGTAGGGGGATTCTTCAGCAGAGTGCTGATTGAAACTGTTGTAAGAGACGAATTTCATTCGAAATTCTGGTGTTCAAACTCTGTACTGCTTAAATGGTACACACCACCGAGGAGATCTAATGAGTGCAGAACCCTACCGAGCGTTTGCTTGACTGGACGAACTGAGCTTTTGGCGANCTTTTCGCTATTCATAAGGCGGTGCTGGTCGCGGATATTTGTTTATTGAGGATTATACATGGGAGGTCAGTAATGTGGCATGCATAACACGAAAACCTAATCTGAAACATACCATCGGCGTTCCTGGCGGCGCATCGAATGCATAGGGCAGTCGGTAGTTGTTTTTTCAGACTTGGCCCTTGGTGGTCTTGTTATGTTTTTGATCATTGAAGTTGTCTACTACTCACAGGTGAATAGTATCTCACAACAATAGGTACCATTTGTTGTATGCTACCTTGTCTGGCCCTGTTTTGCACACTAATATCCTTGTTTTCTACATACTTTCATGTACACGGATGGTGATAATTCGAACTCGTGTTGAAACATTTGAGACAAAGTCAGGTTTCGTCCACGCCGGGCGGGGTTGTAGCTCAGTGGTAGAGCGTTCGCTTTGCATGTGAAAGGCCCCGGGTTCGATCCCCGGCATCTCCACTGAGCTTTGCTTGATTGGGTCCGGCGAAAAACAGCCCGTCTGTTAACGCCGTTGCATGTCCGTCTTCCCCTCTCGGAGTATGAGGTTCCTATTGCTTGCAACCGAGACGAATTGAAATGTGTGTATGGTACCCGAAAGGCCCGAATTGACGAATTTCATTGAGCATGTACCAGCTACTTATAAGTAATCCAATGTTACGGTAACAATCACAGGAACTCCTTTGGTTGTTGAGGTAAAAATATCGTATCACCGTGCGGGAACTCTGTCCACCCCAAAGCCACCGAACACATCCCATGGGCCCGCAGCGGTTTTATCGGGAACTGTGGAGATGCCTGCGGCAGCGAAACAAAACTTGGTCTAGGTATCACCAGACAAGCACGTGATATGAGGAATACTGACTCACTCGGAACCAGTATATTGCACTGAAGAAATTCACGAAAACTATTCAAGCAATGCCTCGAAGCGGACTCCGTACGGGCACCAAAGCAGATGTGAGCATATCTCACGTGGCGAATCAGAATTACGGCTAGCCACCCACGAGCGTCCATACTTTTCCTAGCATTCATAAACGACCTACCAGATGACTTGGGAGAAAAGACACTATTATTCGCTGACGACACCGGAACATGGAGAACGGTACAACATTGTGAAGACTATGAAGTCCTACAGGAAAATCTCGTAGCAGCTTATCGATATATATATATATCTATATATATATATATATGTATATATATATATTTCACACATGTCTGATTTCAGACTGTGTGCCAAACAAATCTAAGTACAATAATCTGTATGAAAAACAGAGGCATTCCATGATTAGCATGTGGGCCGAATACTGCCAGGTTGCCCAGGCCAAGGCAGGTGAATTTTCTTGGGGAATCCATAACCGGAGCTTTCGGCTAGTTAAAGCCTGGCCCGCAAGGCAGCAGGGCGGTGTGAAAACCGCAGTCCATTGGGGGCCGGTGTCCAGTTCATCGGATCATAGACCTTGCGGACGGGGTCATACATCCAAGGTGCCCAGTACACCTTGATGCCCAATCGAGCCGGTGACCACTGATGCAGCCAGAAAGGTGTAGGTGTGGTTCGTACATCTCCTCGTGGTTGGTTTGGAATCAGGATTTTCGGCCAACTCCTCTAAGTGAGCTACCAGTGGTCCACCAACCCGGTCATAGCCCCGGATGTCGCCTTTTCGTCCTCTCGCTTTGATGAGAAAACACCTCCTCCACGAGAAGGCAGTGAGTAGGGCTTCCTCAGCAGATTGTATTTGAGAAACCTGGTCGTATGGGAGCATTTCGTGAGGTGCAAGAGAAGGGTGAGCAGCCACAACCCTAGACACCCACCCCCGACCGTACTGAGGATTTCTATCACTAGTGACAACGAATTTAATGTTGCGTCACAGGGGTGACTTTCCATACGTACTTAGATATCAGCAATTAGTGCGTGCTCCAAACGAAAAGGATCTCTGAGTTATTGTTCGTGAGAATCTCGAATGTTCCACACATTGCGCTAGAGCGTCATTAAAAGCCCATAAAAACAAGCTAGATTACCAAAACGTGTTTTGGGGTTATTTGATGCAGAACTATTGCCCTGTTTGCTATCAGCATACATTAGACCACATGCAAGCTTGGAATCCGTCTAATTCGCTACCAAGAAGCACTAGAACGTCCGCAAAGAACAGCTACCAAAATGGCCAAAGGGTTAAAATCCAAAAGACTGTAAATTCTCGGACTCTATTCGTCTGAATACCGTCGAATAAGGAGAAAACTG